TTTAAACTCTCTGCGCCTATGTGAGTTACCTTCTAACCAAGCGAGAATCCAATTGGACCCCTTATTTTCAGACACCCGGCTTAGGATTTTATATAAAAAGTTTTTATTTTCTAGATATTTTATATTCACTACAATTTTTTTAGAAAAAGTATTTTGGTATAAAAGGATATTATGATTTAGCACTCGAATAATATGTACCAGGTTGGTAATATAGATCTCCAAAACTACAAATCAGGTTTCAAGATTAGATGTAATGTAACATGATCGGGAAGGTTCAAAAAAAATGTTCGTTCTGCCAAAAATCACTCATAACTCAAAAAATCAGTATAAGAAACCACCTTTAGTGTTTTAGTAAAAAGATTTCGTTAGGCAATTTTACTATATAAACTACTTTTCTCTAATTCCTAACCCACACCCTAATTCTAACCTTAGCAAGTTTTAAGAATTTTGTCTGTGCTACCAACCTGGTATATATTATCCAAGTGCTATGATTCACATTATACAGTTTTTTTTGTAGTAGTTTATTATCTAATTTTTTGTTAAATTTTTTATTAATTTAATTTTTTTTTTATTAAAAATATATCTTTATATTATATTTTAATTATTTTGTTTTATTTTATTTTATTTATAAGTGAATTGGCATTTTATTTATTTTAAATAATTTATTTTTACATCGTTGATTATTTTTTTTTAATTTAATACTTAATTTATTTATACTAGATTTGTCAAAGAAATGGTCAAACTACTAGAACTATTTGAAACTATAATAAAGAAGTTATCAAGTGCCTCATATCCAACATTAAATATGGTTTATCTATATATATACATACTAAAACAAATATTTGCTCCAAAAATTGAAGATGGTAAAACTATTGATAGTTATCTAGATCTAATCTACAGACTTTTAGTATTAAATGATAATTTGAAAGATATTGAAGATGATAATAGTGATTAAGTTCTACAAGCGACAATAATGATATTCCAACTGCAAGAAATCAGAAACATTTGCAATATGCATATCAACAATTTAAACAACAAATAAAAAATACACATGATTGAGGTTATGGTCGAGGTCATGGTCGTAGTTAAGGTCAAGGTCGTGGTTATGGTCGTAAACATATATCTAATCAAGATGAAAATGAAAATACAACTTATGTTAAATATTTATCACCAGCCAATACAGAAAATCTTATTCAAAGAGTTCATACTGCTATATATCTTTCTTTAGACAAATTGTGAGAAGTGCCCAATGAAAGTTCTTTAATTGCGATAATATTGGACCCTAGAATGAAGAATTTTCTATTTATAGATAGATCTAAGTGTGCACAGCAAAAAACATGAGCTAAAATCCTTTTAAAAAATTTATATACTCAACTTAAAAGCGACTTAATAAATGAAAATCTTGAAGAATCAATTTTGACAATAAATTTGGTTGACAATACTGAGGACATTTTCTCAAAAATGTGGGCTAATAATCAAGCACAAACAGATAATGAAGTTTTTTGTTATCTATATTATCCTGAAAAACCACGAAGTATGAATCCTTTAGAGATATGACAAAAATTAGGTGATTTTTTAGGGGGAAGGGGGTAAAAAAAGTTAAAATTATATATAAAAACCTGATTTTTTTTATATTAAGAGAGGGAGGGGTAAGCCTCTAATAAAAAATAATCAGGTGATAAATGATACTATCCTTATTGTGATAGCAGAGACATCAAACAAGCTATTTTATTTTATCACAACTAGTATATAAATATCTCTCAATTCCTGCTACATCGGTTCCTAGCAAAACGACTTTTTTTTGATATTAAAAATAATATTTTAGCAAAAAAACTCGATTAGCACCTAATTTAGTTGATCGCATCTTATTTTTAAAACAGAATGATATATACTTCTCTATGTTTCTACCCTTGGAGAATAATAAATAATATTTTGACTATTATTTTTTTTTTGTTTTTTGTTTTGTTTTGTATTGTCATTCTAATTTTGTTGATTTTCTTTATATAGTAGTAGCGATCAATATGGTGGATAATTTCAAGCTATATATGTATGTATTTAACTATTGAATATGATGTTTAAGCACAGTAAATTTATATCTATAACTGGTAAAAAAAGGTATACAATCAGGTTTGTTTTTCAAATAAAAACAAATTACATATTTTAGGATATACAACATTTCACAAGTAAAAAGATAGCACTTACTCATTACATGCAAAAGAATTTAAAAAATTACTCTATACGTATAGCAAAAATAGCTAAATCACATATATACCTACGTACGTATGTATATATATATCAGATACAAGCTGTTGTATATTTTAAATATTCCAAAGCTTTTTTGTCTCGTCGATTTCAAATTTTTTAAAAGCTAAAAAAATTTTTAATAAAATTATATTGTTTAAATACTCATTTGTTCAAAAGCTATCCTAACCTTGTTCTGTTCTATATACAACATTACATACAAGTTTAGAATGTAATTAGTAACTAAAAAATGCTTAATTACAATAAATTTTTGAGTGTTAACTACGAGAAAGAGGATCTTTGTTATGTGATGCTTATATATGCAATATATATACAGGTATAATCGAATATAATACTATAAAACTATATTTAAATTTGAGATAGGTTTTTATTAGTAAAATTAATCCAGATTTAAAAAATAGATCCGGTTCCAAACTCTAATTGCTACAGATATCTTCTTTAAGTATAACTTTAAGTTTAGGATTATTTTAGTATATCTACCTTATAATATCTTTAACTAAGACTACAAATACAAAATACTATTATACAATAGATACAATAAGCAAATACAGCTAATTTACAAACTATTGTTTTAGGAAACTTCAATATCTCTGAAGACAATTTATACTCTCTTTCAATTAAATACAAACTACTACCATACCTTTAATATAACAATATATACAATTTGGCTACTCATACCTAATTATCAACTAATATATAGCAAAAATAGCAGATCTTATAGTACTATTAATTATATCTGAGCTAATTATTCGATCTTTTACTATTTAATCTCATTTAATATTAATAATCCCAACACAAGTACTAGAAGTGATCACAAAATTTTAATTATTTTATAGATATTTTTTTATGACTTTACAGGCAAACATATGGTGACAACCAAAACTCGAAGAATATTTCTTTACAAAATTATAAACAATGAACAATAGCAAATATACTTAGACCAAATTTCTTCTAATCTCAAAATTAACAAGATCTCACTATCTATGAATACTTCAGAGACTTTTGAATATACATAGTACAAAATATAAACTAGTATTATTAATACTACTTTACAATATATTTCTAATAAAAAATTTGCAATACAAAACTTTTAATATATATACTTACCCAAAGTATCACTATTATACCAATATTTTAAAAAGCTTGGTAATATTATTTGTCAAGTTAAAGCATCACTCAAAAACAATCTACCTATATTTATTCAATATAATCTTACTATTAACTAGATTAATAGTACTCATCAACTAAATATTTCACATATGTTTAGTAAATATACTCTTCTTGCAAACTGGCTAAATGCTTGTAATAATGAATAAAAAATATGATATCATACTCATAATATTAAAAATATTAAAGAAATACAACAAATTAATGATAATATTTTAATAAATATGATAAGCTCTTATTTAATCCTAAATTTATGATTAATAATATATTAAATCATTATAAAAATTTAGTTAGATTTGATAACATTAAAACAGAAGATAATATTATTATTGATAAATAGACAGATTATAGAAATATTAACCAACAGATATTTAATTCTACATAGCAAAATGAATACAAACCAAAAATCAATATTTAAACTACATAGTATAATAGTGTTTTAATAAATTTTTTTTAGAAGAAGTCTTCACCACTCTGTCATAATTTCCCAACAACAAAGTATACAACCCTTTTAAATTAGTTATAAAATGCTTAAACATGCTAGCTTTTTCTTCTTGTAAGCAATTATTGCACTATTTAACAAATACATTACCTCTAATTCAATTCCCAAACAATAGAAAAAAGGAAGAATATTTTCATTCTTCAAAAAACCTATCTTTGATAGTAATCTAATCAACACTAAATCCATCAGTCTTTTAAAATATATCAAAAAATTATATACCAAACTTTTAACCAACTGTCTAAACTATATATTTACCAATTATCTAATCCTTTCTCCTTACAACTATATTGTATTTCTAGGCAACTATACTGTAATCTCTATCTATATATTTAACAATATAATTAAAGAAGCTTTCTGTAATTCAAAAGAGCTTTGGCTTCTATTTTAGGATATAAGCAAAGCTTATTATTCAGTCAATATTGACTTATTCAAACTATTTCTCCAACATATTAATATACTACCCAAACTTATCAATATACTTACCAACTTTCTATTTAATCACTATAATAAAGTTATCACTAATCTTGAACTTACTAATTTATATATAGTCAAAAATAGTATTAATCAAGAGAAACTATTACTTCATTCTTTTGAAAAATTTATTATAATCCTCTATTCATAAAATCTCTTTACAATTTACAGAATATATATTATTTATTTTATAGCTAACTAGTTTATAATCACAAACTAGCTAATATTTCTAAATTTTAATTTCTGTATTGGTCTATATAGATAATACACTATAGATAGCTTAATTTAAAAAACAAATAACTCAAATCACTCAATAGTCTCATTTTTTTACCAAATAGCAAACATACAAATTAATCTAACTAAATTTATATTAACTACCAATTCTAAACCCTCCTCTATCTTCTTTATTAACTCAGCAATCCATCTATTTCAGTTAACCAACCTTTTAAATTTTTGGGATATTGGTTTACTCTTAACAACAAACAATTAGAACAAATTAAACTTATTTAAAATGAAACTTTTTAACTAATTTACATTGCTAGCACAAAGAAAATTATAGACAAACAGATTGTATATATTATTAATACTATTATTATCCTTATACTAGAATATAGAATTTCAATATAATACTTTTATATACTACATGTAACAACATTTTATCTAAATACTTTACTATAGCTAAATACAAATCTTATTTTGTAAAATTAATTTCTAATAGTACTATGCTTAACCTATATCTATATAATATTTAAAATATTTAGAATATTTAATTACAATATCATATAACTAATTTTCTTTAATATATTAACAACCCTATTTTCTAGAAACTACTACTTGTATTAGGTTATAGCAACTACAAAATAACTTGTAGTCAACTATTAATATACTTCAATGTCTACAACATATACACAGGTCGAATAAATCTATACCGGTGAAATATCGGAAAGCCGATATTAAACGAAAGTTATACAATAGTTTAACG